GTCAGGCTACAGTGGTCAAAGCACAGGCTAAAAATTGATCAAAACTGTTTTTAGGAAGCCACAAACATTTCTATTAGGCTATTACAAGGCATAAATAGCCACGATGGCTACTGTTTGGCCAGAGATTATTCAACTTCTGGCTGTATTAAAAAGCCTAAAATGTAGATTTTTTTTTTTTTCCGAGCCGCTAAACAGTTTGATTATTTCCCATGCCGGTGCCTCCTTTTTCCTTTGCTGACAGGCTCTTTTGGAGTGGATATTGCTCATTCCTTCATGAAGTAATTTATAAAAGATTATCTTAGCATAATCCTCCAGGTTGTAACATGTCCCGGTCCAGCGTTTATCTGGACCTCCCCAGAGTCTGCAGCTCACATTGCCTAACACCTTCCACAGTCAGAATACATTCTGTTTTGTTGAATACAGTTTTTTTAAAAAACCCTTTGATAGCCAGGTACTTCCCTAATGTTTTTTTTCTTTTCCTCAAGAAACGGTCCTACTTCATCTTTCTGCTACTGGTGCTATCATTTATTCACCAGGACAACCTACAGAAGTTGCTGATAAAAGTTTTAGAAGACGTTTAGTAGCCCTTCAAATGACATCCTGACTACAAACAGTAGTTACAGTTGTTTTAAAAGAGGCTACAAAACTCAGTATTATTAGCTCTTTTCTCATCCTTACAGTTCAGAGGAAATTTTTCATCTGTAAGGCTGCAAAGCCTGTGTATTCCTTTATTAACACTGTCATCGAGTTACAGGCAACTGCTGCCCACTGGCACGGAGCAGATCTGTTCCTTAGGGGAACAAACTACTCAAATTTATCGGCCCAGGCAGCTGCAGCGACCACTCGCAAAGTCTGGATATCTATGTCCCCAAAAGAATATCAAAAATATCAAAAAGTACATAGAAGATTTTTTTTTTTCTCCATTAGAAAGAAGGATGATAGATTCCGTGTTGCAGTATCAAGGGACTGTGGTAACTGAAGGTGGTTTTAGCTCAAATGTAGCTCACTAGAATTAACTCTGCAAGTGTTTTAATTATAAGTAAGAACTTCCCTGGACCAACAGACATTTTGCCATCAAGATGTACACTGGGCAAAAATTAAATACCCTCTGACCTCAGTTCATTGAGAAACATCAGCATTTTAAACAAACTGATTTTTCAACCACTTCGCAACTGACAACCATTTCTCACCATACATTCTCTTCATTGTTACCTGGATTACTTACATAGTCACATTCGAACTCATATCTGAGCTAAGCTAAAAACAGTGTATATATGAACTGAAGAAAATATCCATACATTCTAATACTATACATATTCCCTTTTTATACTGTTATTCTAGTTGTCTATACAGAAAAGGTGGATAGGAGTGGAATTTTTTTTTTTAAAATCCGTATCTGGTCCAATTGCCAGCGTCCTTAATCTCAAAGAAAAGACTTTTTCAATCCATAAATCTGAGTCATGGTCACACACCAGTTGTATTTATTAAAGTCACATAAAAACATCCATAACCTGGACTGATTTCAATAACTTGACCCCGCAACTAAACCAGGACTCTTGTATTACCATGATCCACCTGTAGTATATGGATACTGTTCTTAGGACTGCTTTCTGAATACAGCAATGTACCTAATAAAAGAAAATTGCACTTGCAGAGAGGCTTTGGGAGGAGAAATGTTGACTCATCATCACCATCTCTGTTCTTCCTAGTTTGCAGATAAAGAATACTACTTTTTTTTCACGGAAGTGTTACTGATACTTAAAATACACAATGAAGAAAAGCCCATAGCACAATCAGATTGATGAATCTAGCCTGCCATGATAGTCTGAAATTATAAGAAAAATATTATATTTTGCTCTTGAGTTTGTGTCCAGTCATAGTCAGCAATAAGGATGAATATTTACAGTATAATTGCCTTCCTGACATTCTATTACGTCTTATCACTTGTATCTACTCAGGTAGTATATAACAGACAGTAAACTTTACACAAGGTCAGTGAGGACAAAATGCAGATTTCAGGATTATTACTACTATTTACTACCAAGGTTTACAAGCAGTGTCAACAGGTGCTAAGGTGCAGCTTAAGCCTGCATGAAGCTTCACTTATTTCAGAAAGACTTTCCAAAGATAAAGGGACATGGTTACACAGATTGTAGAATCAGGTCTCAGTGTACTGTGATCGCTCAATCCAAAAATAATAAATGCATGAAGTAGCTCCACTGGAAGCAAGACTCTTCTAGGAAAGTCTGCTAATGACACTGCACAGTTGCTCTGATGAATGAGGCTATAAAAAGATTAATTTACTTCAGAGTTTTAAACAGCATCTCCAAGGCAAAACAGAATTGCAAAAAAATAAACTCAGGAAATCTTTAAAAAACATTACTAAAAATATTAAACATGATGTTGTTAGGATGCTCCATAAATATTAGGGTTGTCCAGACAGAAAGAGTGAAATTACTAACAATAACTAACATTAATTTGTCTAAATTCAGCATTAAAATATTACAGCTGATAAAGAGAGAAACAGTAATCCTAACATGTTTGCTTTCTGTGATCACTTCATAGTGTGACAGCTGAATAAACTATTATAAAGAAAACAATGGAAGTATCATGTATTTGTATACATACATGTTTCGGCTCCAGTAAAATGACAAACTGTTGGGTAACAAAATGCCTTCTCTACAACAATTTTCAGATTATCTCAGTTGCTCTAGCACAATAAAACAGGATGCTGTTGAAATATTACAGACAACACCAACACTGTAGCTGGTATTGTAATCACAATGTTTACTCACCTAGCTTATTTTCTGAACAATTCCTTCCTACAGAGAAGATATTTATATTATGATTTTACTGGAATCATATGGCTTCCAGAGTTTGCTACTGTCAGGAAAGTGCTATGAAGACAGAAGTAGAAACAAGTTTTTCATTTCCATTTGGCTGCCTCTGATCAGATGAATTTCCACTGATTGCTTCCAATGGATGAATAGTAGGCACTTTAATACAAGGATTAGCTTCAAGCTCTATTCTACCTATTGGTACTATCCAGCCTGGAGATACCTGAACAGTAACATTATCCAAACACGACCAGAACAATACATTACTCAAACCTTAAGAAACCGTTTCCTAAAGTTTTTTCTGTTGTTGCTGTTTAATATAGTTGCTTCAGATATTTTAAACTTAGTGTACCAAGAGTCAAAGGTAGAAAACGGAAGCTCTAATAAGACATAGTGTTCTCTGCCACAGAGTAAGCCTCAGGCAGCAAAGAGCTATGTAAACACCACAAACTGAAAACCCCTACCAAGCTCCTTAAATGTTGCTCGTGGTACTAAAATTGTGAATCTAGCAAACTCCAAGAATAACAAACAAAATTCAATTCACCCTAAGAACTGATGCTAGATGCTTCCTAGTCAGATAAGAACAATGATCCTTTGCCTATAAATGTATAAACAACAACATGAGTATGCTTCTTCCAATTATCTGCAAATCTGTTGAAAGAACAGCATCAAGTCTCTCTTTTGTCCAGCTACAAAAAGAAAATATACAGGGATGTTTTTAATTTTATATATAGCCCAGAAACTATAACAATACTGTACTAGCTCACTTTCCATCGAAGTGGCAGATTTTCCAACAAAGATCTTGTGTTGTATTCCTTGTGGTGGCAATGTGGCTCACCCTATTAGTAGTCTGCAGGTGCTATACCTCCTCAGTTACTTGTTTCTAATCTGCCTTCAGTCTAACCAAGATGATAGAGACACGACAAAATAAATGGTACCACAAGGCAAGCAGTAGGGCTGCCACACGTGCAAAGGGCTGTTGTAAATGCCTATAAGCATATTTTTACTACGTGGCAAGAGACACAAGGGTCTGTCTCACCAAGAGATTATATGCCTTTAACATCCTGGTACAGACAAATGCAGTTAGGACAGAGCAGCTGACACAGCAGCTCTGCTGGTATACTGTACTCACATAATCACTTGTACATCTGTTCTCCCAGACTTCCTTTCAGTGGTATTACCCTACCAAAGGTAGCATCTGCTTCTCTGTTTTGACAAATTTAAGAGGGGAACATCCTCTCAACAGAACTATTTATTTTTACAGGAAACCCAAGCACAGGCAAGACTTAGGAGCACAGCTGTCAACCTATTTACCAAGTTGCCCTAACTCTTCTGCTCTGCTTCCTTTTTGGGACTGCAAAGATCACTAGCAGGGAAGGTTCAGACCTTCCTATGAGTCAGGACAGCCAGTATCTGTTTAGACTTGGTGGCAGAGCAAAATGCAGGGCAATAGATGAGGCAGTATAGACAACAAGATTTATTCAGTGTACCAACCACATTCACAGCTGAGAACACTAGAGGAACTGAGACACGAAGGTGAAGAGGCCAGCAAGGCATTCTACTACCACAGGATCACCCAAATGCTTTGAGAAGTTGTAAGGGTAGCAAACAGTTCATTCACTGAAGACAAAATTAATTACTTCAAATGACATTTTAAAACATATATTTATTTAAGCTGAAGGTACCAGGTAGATCATTTCTGTGTGTCAAATGGTAAGAGCTATTAAGCAGAGTAGGGAAGTACAGTTTTAAATCAGAACCAGTAACAAACATAATAAATGTTTTCTTTCCATTAATAACCAATAAAGTGCATACGGTAGAAAAGCAGAGCAGATTCATACCAACCCAAGTAATTAGGCTTAGAGAGAAAACATCTGCCCAATTTCATCTTTCTAAAGCGCAACCATTTAAAGTATGAAACATCTACTATGAACAAGGTAGACTATACCCCTTTGGCAGGGAATTTGATTTTCTTCAATGTGTTCCAAGTTACCATAGAAAAAAGTCTTCCTCTGAGCTTGTAAAAGACCACTGGACCCAAGATTGCCATTGATACAGGCTAGACTTTGAATTCTGTTTGTAACTGAAAAATCATGTTACAGCCAAGATAGAAAAATACAGATTAAACAGCGCATAAATATTTTAAACAATTGCCATACCCACCTGCTACATTAAGCTTTTCCACTGCTCCTAAGCTGGGAGCAGGAGTGCTAGTATTGTTGGTAGAGTTTGCTCCTGTTCCATTAAGTACAAGATTTTCCACCTTGGACTCTAGCTTCCCAATGCGCTGCAAGATATTATCCAACAAGACAGCAAGTGTCTTCTTCAAATCTACAAATGAAAACAAAAAGTTAAACTGCTTAATAATGCAATGCACACTGTCAGACAGAATCAAAAAAATAGATACAAGAATGAGACTGGAATATATATAGACACTTTCTCAGTGCAAATCTTTGTCATTAGCAGTTCTATGCACTAATGTTCCCTACTTCATTCAGCCTCAGATACAAGTTTTCCTGGACGTGGAACTTGTCTTCCTATGTATTTTATAAAGCACACTGCAACTCATATACATATCCTATACTCAAGGTGAAGTGTGCGCCTTTATGGGTACACACATGTGAACAAAAAAAATGCATGCTTCGTAACAGCTCAAGTAATAAGAAGTTGCTTAAATAACAATGAATCTAAACCTAAATCCATATTCAAAGCACTATCAGAGGAACAGTCTGTTAGATGCTCAGTCACCTGGAAACAAAAATCCCCTTCGCAAAAGACAGGACAGTTTTGAGCCAATACAAAAACCTTCTCCTACATCTCCTCTACCACAACCAGGTTCTGCACTAGCAAAAAAAAAAAAAATCCGCTAAGTTCAACCTTTCTGTCATACACACATATCACCATAAACCACTTCTTTCTTTTCTTCAGTCTGTTGGTTATTGCCTCTACCTATCTATTTGGTTTGACACTGCACTTCCTTCACATGGAAAGTAACACACAGTAACAGAAGTTTGCATATCAAATGACAACTGAGAAAGAGTTCTCTGATACTTTTCCCTTTCTTTTGTTCAGATTTCTTGAAGTAACACAGACAGTTGGGCAAGCTAAAAGAACTGTGGGCAAGAGGGGAAAAATAGACCACTATCAGACTAAACTGTGTAATTAGAGTGGCAACAAGCCAAAGATGATGAAAGAAAGTATTGTTCTTTGTTCATTTACCCTTGTCTCAGGATTAAAGAATTTGGTATGATGAATTTACATTATTTTCCCATTTAATTACATGAAATAATTACATGTGCATATGTATAATACATTTTCTGCTTTCCACAACTTTAGAATCAAATAACTTTTGGATCTGTAATAGAGAATTTCTCCATACACGTGAAGCGATTCCTCCGCCCCAACATCAGTTGTATTTTTGCCACACTTATTTTGTTCTCCCTTTATTTTTTTCCCATGACTAGCCCAATTCTTGTGCAAATGAGAGAGTAAATAAGAAAAGGCTATTATTTTTAGAAAGCTTACGATTCTTTTTTCCCAAATAAAAGAAGAGTTATATTTATTCCATGGAGACGTAAAGTAGATCTTTTTCTTTATAACTGTGTGTTTTCTTTTGTCCTTTAAAGATCAGAAGATGGAATCTTAAGCACTAATGATCTAGACTATCTTAAAAGGGGTCCAGAAGTCACTTAATGGTACAGTATGCAGAAGAAAAGGAAAGAGTAGAGCAGGGATTTAACATGAACAAAACCATGGCACAGAAGGAGGAAAAAATCTAGGAAAAAAGGTAGTAAAAAAAAATATTCAGGAAACAATGAGGAAGAAGCATAGCATACATAAAGGCATACACAGAGCATAAAGAGAAAAATGGCTTGACGTTGTATTTTTTTAATGCTGATCCCAAAACACTGATATGAGAGACTGCTTACCAGAACAAAAAAAGCAATTGGAGGCTAGTTTGAGAAGGAGAGGGAGGGCAGAAGCACAGATTCATAATATTTTTTGTAAAACAACTGTTTACTGCTATAAAAATCTAATACTCACTGTGTATATTTGGACTACAACTTTTAAGAAGAAAGTGTTTGATCCACCTACCTGACAGGTCAATATATGGTAGAAAGCAAAAGTGAAAAAGCAAACGAGCTGTGCAATCACCATTAAGGCGTGACTGAAAACCTTTTGGGTGGGTAAAAGCAGCCAAATCAAGCAAACTTAGAACTTATTCTTGAGCATGGAAATCATGACTGGGCTCGCTAATAGCAATCAGAGGATAAAAAAAATAAAAAGGCTAAATAGCAAGGGTGTTAATTTTCATAGAATAGCGAACCAACTTCTACCCATTATCATTAACATTAGTCATTAATGTATTTATTCCTGAACAGCTAACCCGATCATTTGCTATCAACAAATCATTTGGTACGACAAACAGGACAAACTAACTAACTTATTAAGTAATTATTATCTTACTCAGTTTCACAAATTATTATTTAATAAGGTGTTATTCACTCACCATAGCACCTTTCCCTCTCATATTTTAAATAAATATATTATCATTATTTTGCATCCTTCCAAACTGCTTAATTGAAAACACCTGTCCAAACTTGTCTTGAAACTGAAAATTCTTCTTAGCCACGGATCTTGAAATTTTTACACAAAACTTAGCTTTACCTTCACAGAAGCGTTACAAAGTTATTTCACCCACTTTCAAATGCAGCTTAACTTCTCCTGGGGAACGTGGCCGTTGCTTGGCGGCAAGTCAACTTATTCCTCAGCGGGATTTGGAACAGGAAATGAATGCCACAGGCAATAAGCTGCAGGGGGATCTTAGCTTAGGGATATCCTGTACTCTCAGGCCTGGCTAGGGCACAGATTAATGCAGTTACCCTTCAATTTCTGGAGACATACTGTTTTTTGGGTTTTTGTAGGTTTTTTTTTTTTTCTTCTTCAATTCACCTACCATCAAGCACCCTTACAAGATAATGGGACACTGATGATGGCTGTATAGCAGATAGAGTTTTGTTTTAAGCCTATGCACACAATTCTCTAGGAACGTCTACTTGCTTGGAGGTCTTCAATCTAGATATTGATCTAGTACCACTCTATTTAGCTTGTGTTGCTTTGTAAGATTATAATACCAGTATATTTCAACATGCAGTCACAAATCAGTAGAAGTTAAAGAATAAGGACGGCTTGTTATTTAAGCAACAAAGCAATATAATTGTTACATATGTTTGGGATGATAATCTCAGCCTCACAGGCAAGCACCTGCATGCAAACTCAAAAATTCTTTTTTTAGAGAAAAAAAGTGATAACAGAAACAAGACATGGAGAGAATCTCCCAGCAGGATATTTTCATTACATGCACCAAAAAGTAAAGAGTATCAGAGGAAAAGGTGCAGCTATTATCTGTTGCATCCTAGTCTTTATTCTTTGTCTAAGCCTACAGAAGACATCTATCCAATTTCTTCAGAGCTCAATATTAAGGCAACTATAAAAGGAAACAAATCTAGATGGCTAATTAGCCATTAACTTTCCAGATAGCCTGAAAGTGCATAGGTAAGTAGGAAAGAAAGTGAGCTTAAAAAATGCTAAACCACTAAAGTGTATGATGTGATTTTAGCAGATTGAAAAGGGGCCACACCTAACCTGAAATTGGATATTTTTATTTTCATAATATTTTCTGGTAATATGCTTCATTCTTTTCTGCATGCTTTCTCTCACACATGCACACAAACTTAACTCTCATGCTGTACAAAATGGAAGAGAGTAAGTATTAAAACTTACTGCTGAACAAAGCACTGAAACTCACAAAAAGAGTTCTCTACCCTGAAGCAAATATCGTATATTTAAGCTTAATTTAAGCTTATGCCAGATATAGAAACTTGAACATTAAGTAAATTGACTGAACAAAGTAGTGAAATGGGAAAGAAGAAGAAATAAACATAGCAGGTCTCCACTTTATCAGTAAGGCAAGTTCTTCTTCCACAAGATCTTCTTAGACCACTGACAAGCAAACTGAAAAGCCTCCCAAGTTTCTCAAAAACGGCAAAAAAAGCTTTTTTTAAATGAAGTTCTAACAAATAACCTGAGGCATACCAGATATAGCTACTAGACAGATGTAGTAAAAGTTAGCAGACAACTTCATCTCCGAGTGACTGGAAATGTAAAATTTGTCCCATTTCATACTTACAAGTGAAGACTGCTTTCTCCATCTGTGCAGAAAATCCACAATGCAAAGTACTGTCAATTGAGCAGCATTATGAAGTAAAATGTTTGGACAACTTAGAAAAAACTTAATCAGATCATCATGTAATCTAGAGCACACACTTACCGTACGCTGTCACTGTCCCAACATAAGGCCCATCAACCACATTTTTATTTTCTTCGGCTAATGCTTTGATGTATCTTTTGCTGAGATCCAAAATTTGCTCACGCAGGACTGAACTGCTTTCGTGTTGGGTTTGCTGCTGAATAGTAAAATGCAGAAGCATCATTCCCCAAATGAAACCAAAAGTCACCAGAAAAAAGCCAAGTTTCTGAGAGGACAGCTTCCATGGAGAGAATGCCATGATTCCCAACAGCTTCACACGGTTACTACAAAGGTTCCTAAAGCATGAAGCCAAACAGCAAGTTCATGGTCCAGGTACATAAATATCACAGAGCAGGACTCAGTCTTATTCCAACTCCTTAGTCAATGTATATCCGTATTTCAGTTCCATCCTGTTGCAAGAAGAAAAAAAAGCATAGTTACCACAACATATTAGAAGTTTTTACTAGCTATAGTAGGTCTTCACTCTAACTGGTACAAAATAGGAGTAGCCAATATGCTTTCTTTGTAAATGTTTAATTTGTATGTACCAACATTGTACTGTACTAGCCAGAGCACAAAGAAGCTGAGAAAAGCACTGGAAAGCAAACAAAGAGGGAGCGATGTGCCTGAGCAGGTGTAGAACACCTCTCAGTATCTGGATCAAATTCAATGCTTCAAGCAGTTTCTAAGCTGAATTTCCAGGTAAGGCTGCTTTTTCATATTTTTTGTGCGTGTGTGTGTGTGTGTGTGTACACAAAACTTTGTGATGTGTAGCATCAGTGCAGCAATTTAAGACAATTCTCAACATAATTCAGTTCTCAGAAAACAAGTAATTTTAGCTGGCAGTGACACTGCTCGGAGTTCCTGGCAAGAGCTATGGCATATGGCTAGATAGGTGATCAGGAAATCAGACTCCCTCAGGGGTAAAGAGGAAAAAAGAAATCTACATTATTTAAGCCAATCCACTCTCCTGGCTTCCACTGCAAGCAGTCAGAAGGCTGGAATAATCTCCTCTTGCTCCTGTGTGGCCTCTGCCATGCATAGTTACTCCTTATTCATTAAACATAACGCAATGAGTTTGCTCCTTGCAACTAAATTCAAAACACATTCTTCTGAATGCTACAACATGTCTCTTGTACATAAAATTAATATTCTCAGAGCTTTTCACACACTAGGGAAACAGAATTGTAATAACGCCCTTCAAGAGAATGTATGACCATCTTTTCGTGGTAAACTCAAAGATAAAACCTGGCATAAAAAATCCAAAGGCAAGAAAAGCTCTGTGATGAGGGCTAGAGGCAGGGTCCTTAGCATAAAACCCAACGAGAAGAAAGGTAATTAAAAGGTAATTAAGTGTAACCTATCATGTTAAAACACAGATTTGGTAAAATGTTATCCTTTTAACTTCATAATGCTCCCAGACAGGATTAGAGAACATAATGTTCCCTTCCATTCTGCAGTTGCACAGATAATGCAGATATTACTCTGTTTTAATAGGATAATTACACAGATGCCGGCTAGCAGTGCTCCCTGTTTGTTAAAATTCCCTTTAGATCTTCTGCTTTCAGTTGAACAACAGTTCTGCAGAGGGGCAGAAATACCTTTGGACCACTTATCTTCCAGCATGTCTCGTGTGTGCATTTAGCATTATTGATTATTATTGACTGTACAAGTGAATGTGCATTACATAGTAAACTAAGAGCAGACAAGGCAGCAACTGTGCCATGCATTTACATTGCTAGAAGAACAATCTGTAGCCATCTTCTGCTTAAGGAGGAATGGTGCAGAAAAATGAGTTGCAAGTACAGTGAAAAAGATTATAAAGCCCTCAAGTTGACTTTTTCCATACTTAAAGTATCTCAATAAAATGAATGGTCTAAACAGAGAAAATGAAGGACTTTGTTTAATTCTGCTCTCCATAAACTTAAGTTAATTTTCCGAGAAATGGCAGAGGGAAGTTTTACTTCTTTCAGTTTATTTAACTACAGCCTTGGGACACTCTTGGGCTGACTAAAAAGTAGAGTATTGTTATTTCATTAAAAATTGAATGTTTTACTATTCTTTTGCAATATCTGGTGGGATAAAATATAGAAAATTCCATAGTTTAACACAACAACACAACTTTAAAAAGAAATCTGAAATATTCAAGATTAATTCCCTCAGTGTCTTAATTTCAAGTAAGAATTGACAGCATCCTCTGCAGCAATAAGATCTGTGGTTATGACAGTCAATATTTCTTCCCCAATTATCAGTTGTTTGTCAAGTGGAAACACTGAATAAGAAAGTAAATGTATCACCACCATGTTTTAACAGACAAGTGCTAACGATTTTTTATGACTAGTGGTTTAGGAAAAAAACCCCACAGAACATCATTAACATGAAAAATAGCAATAAAAAAATGCAAGTATTTCACAGTCTTCTTTTTAAAGTTCTAGAACAGAAACAAGGATGATTACAAAAAAACAGTGTATGTCTAACCTATGAGAATGATCTGCTTAAAATACTGCTGTTGACTTTTCTATTCTGTTTATGAACAGAAGAGAAGCCATTTAAGGCTCAAAAACTGTAAGAAGGTAGACAGCAAATACTAAAGTTTTGCTATAAGAAAGGATTAAAATTCATCAACAGATGGAAGAATGGCCCCCAATATTTGAAGTGCTAAAAGCAAAAAAAAAACACAAACCAAAAAAAAAAACCAAACCAAAACTGCCAAACACCCCAAACCAGCCCTATTTTTACTGCCATTTAAGCAATACCCATGGCTAGCAACCTGATGAATGCCCAACAACATGTACTTAACTAATTAACTTTACAGCACTGCTGTTGGCCACAGAGGTTTGTAAAGCACACAGAAGAATCTCTGTGCTTCCCACCGCTTCCATGGCCAGATGCACACCCACACTGACTTCGGTATATGGTTAATCCTAGATTTGACAGATGTCAAGGACTACAACACAACTATTCCATGGCTGATGGTTACCACATACCTATAACGACAGATTATTTGGTATCTAAGTGGACAGTGCTCAGAAGATATCAAGGGGTTATGTGGAATGCATGAAGACAGCAGGACAGAAACATCTCTGTGGTATTTCTGTTTTGACAAGAAATTAATAACTGAAGTGAGCAACAGTTGAAGCAATAAATACACATTTGTCTACTGTAATCACTCATGGACTTTGACAGTGCCTGCTAAGTAGTTATCTCTCTGCCCATACCAAGTAAACCATTCCCAAACTTAAGGTAGTAGAATATCTCCCTGATTCTCCCCCTCGCCTTATGAATGTTCTCAAAGGAGCTGATCCTGTTAACTATTGAGGCCTTTTCCTAGCCTAGTCTCCAAAATGCACAACGGGAGTCATATCTAAAGAGGATATGGAAACATATTTGTGCATGCCTCTAAAGAATGACAGGCCTTTTTTTTTTTTTTTTTTTTTTTAAGCTTTGGAAAGAGGTGGTTCACTCTAAGACAACTCTTGAAATAGTGCCAGCACCCCTCTGGAAACTGGATATGTCATAGTTGTGAAGTTGTTTGTGAAACGGTTAGGAAGATAATTCCTCCTGATTTGCTGATGTACCAAAACTAAATGCCAAGTGTGAAAAACAGGGTGAAAGTGAAAAGATATACAAGGCAAGAAAACGTTTATTAAAGAACAGCTTTGTTATGTTCTTCCTTAAATTCAACTCTAACCAGCCAAAATCTCACTGCAACTGAACCAACACACCGGTGTTTTGGTTTGGTTGGGTTTTTTTTATTTTTTTTTATTTTTTTTTTTTTAAACAGACCAGTTACACGCTTTGAGATAAACATACCACAATTTAAAATAGAACTGCCTCTACCCTTAACAAAAATGATTAGCATATTTCTTTGGAAAAGGGCTGACCTTACACCCATTTACATAGGCATAAGAATTTTAATAGTCTTATTACTTTTAATATTTTAAACAGCTTCATTAAAAACACATTTTTTCTGTTCTATATTCAATAAAATCCTGCTCAACAGCTGGTCAATTCATTAGTTACGGAGGATAACATTACCATGCCTATGTCATCACAACAAAAAACCCCCCACGCTATTTAAAATCTTATCAGGAAAGAATCCCAATGCTAAAGTGATTCGTACATCAGGGATGCAAACCACGCATTTTTCAGCATTTTAAGCCCTTACTCTTTTTTTTTTTTTAATGCTTAAAATAGAGTACAAACAGTTAATCTTCATGTGAACAGATTCTGGTGACACATATCCAGGTATTCCTCTTCACTTTTTTAAAAAGGAGAATTAATCATCTACAAGAGATTAAGCAAAGTCTCTTTGTAAGTATGTACACATACAAAGCTTGATGCTCTCTGGCCAGTCTGTACCTATATAAGAAACGGTACTTACTCAGGGTAAACTTGGAACAGCACTATCCTCCGCATAGTCAGGATTCGACTGTTCATCAGTTGAATGCACTGTTCTTCACTAACTCCACAGTTATAAAACCTTAACTGTCTGTACCCAAAGCAGAAGCTGTTGTACCCATAAAAGCAGCAGCAGATTGAGTAGTATTTAATTATTAGCTTGTTATGAACTCAAACATAAGCAAACTTATACAGCATGAGTCGTAAACAATGTACATTCATTTTTTACCAAGTGGTTCAGTAAAAATAGTATTGCCACTGCTAGGAACAGGCCTCAGGCCTTATGCCAGCTGCGTTTCTATGCCAAATGTTCAAGGCCCAAATTTTGGCCTCTTATGCTTGTGAAATTATACGAGAACTTGTAAGACCTAGAGCTGGGTACCAGGTGCCTCTTGTTATGGCATACAGCTTAGATATGAGATAAGAACAAAGGCCTTGAAAATACAGACACAGGTCAAAAGCAGAGGCCCCAGAACTGTAAGCTACTCAGTGATGGTCAATTATTAGTCGCTGATGAAGTGCAACCTTGAGATTCGGGGAAAAAACCAAACCAAACCAAACCTTCTTTTCTCTCAATAGCAGCAAAAGCTGAAAAGGAGGAATAAAACTACTAAGCAACAAGAAAAGGCACCTGTGACAGCATCGAACATCTTGCCGTCAAGGACCATAGCTATCAGTGCTAAATACATGGCACCAGCTCTGTGGTGCTGTGTGCTCACGATTAATTTAAAATGAGACTGTTACAGACTAATTGCTTTGAATATGCAGTGGTTATGACTAGGAATGAGTAAGAACTAGCCATTAGCAACGTGTATTGTTAATGAATATCAATCTAATGAAGCTTTGTTACAAGGTTTA